GGTGTACATAAATACCCTGACAAAAGCTATGCAATATGCGCTACAAAGAATTGGACACTTCAAGACAAAAGCAGCAAAAGGGATAAGTTCTTTCTTCTTTTTTAATACATCATAGCATTCTTAAACTAACAACACAGGTTTATCATACCTTTGCTCTTCCCTCGTATCTAAATAAGATCAACCTTAGCATGCAAGCAGCAGGAATCCAAAGTACCAATGAGTTGCAGAAAATATACAGACAATGGGAACCAGCATCATAAACCTGAGCAAAATTAAAGAACGAAATTAAAGCAGTACAACCCAAATGTTTTTCAAAAATAAATGTTCTTATATGCAGGTTCAACACGAGGACTGAAAAGCTGAGCATTTAGAGAATAAATGGTACCTTAAGAATCTCCGCATTTACAAAACTACTCCAACTGTGAATAGCTATAACAGAATCCTCTGATCCTCAAAAGCTGCCCAATCCTTACTCTACTTCAACCAGAGATCTACCCAAAGGAACATGCATTGAACCTTAATCATAAACTTTCTTGAACTTTGGATCAGTTTAAACCTACACAACAACATCCATGCTCTCAAACTCAGAGATGCCATCAAGCACAATCAACTTAGCAAGGGACTACATACATCTCTCTCACATTCTTGACAACAAGCTCCGGCTAGGAACCCTCGAGCTGGGCCTTGTGAGGATTTTGATCCAATGTACTCTTCTTTAATGACCTTCAACTCCTTCTCACGATCTCGATCTGCGAATTTCTCCAACCACGCACACTCACGCTCCTTGGCTTCCTCCTCATGCTGGCAATTGTAGCATCCCAAGTAGCGTTCCCTGTCTCGCCTCTTTTCACGATCTCGGCAGTTGGAATTGGGGCACCGTTTGGAGGAGCTGCGCAGAAGAAGAGGGAAGGACACCCATGTCATCAACGGAAGGGCCACCAGAGGCAGAGGCCAGAACAGAGCCGGAACCAGAGGATGGAGCGAAACCGGAAGCAGAGAACGGAGTAGAGCCGGAAGCAGCAACCGGAAAAGAACCAGAAGCCGAAGCCATGACCAGATCAGAGCCAGAAACCGTGACCAGAACAGAACCAGAAGCGACGACCGGAACGGAGCCAGAAACAGAAGCCGGAATAGAACCGGAAACAGAAGGGTTAACAACCATCACAAGACAACCGGCCAGGATCAAACCACAAAGATCAAAGAAATTTCCCTCAAACAGAAGAAAACAAAGAAGAAAAGGAAGAATCAAGAAAAAGTAAAAAGAAGACAAAAAGAAATCAAGAAGAGTCAAACAAAAAGGGAGAAGAAGAATCGGGAAACTCAAAGAAAACCCCATCTAGCCAAAAGGATAAATTGCATGAAATCCCAAGAAAATAGGGATTTGAATCAAAAGGACCAGCCGTACCAGAAGGCCATACATTGGGGGCCACGTACAGAAATTGCTGCCAAAAAGTAGAAAAATCCGGGAAATGCAGCAGTAAAAATATGGAAAAATCAAGAAAGGGCCTGAACAAATTTTAATAGAAATTTTTAAGGAAACTACGCAGGAATCACAAAAGAAAAACCTAGGCTGCACTCTTTTTTCCTTAAACTAGATTTTTATCCCACGGGGTTTTTTCTAGTTAAGGTTTTTAACGAGACAGTCATGGTTATAAAATGGGAACCTGCGCAGAGTTTGAAGCCAAGATCAACGGAGCAAAAAGTCAGACATTTGATGAAGTTTTCACTATCCTCAAACTTCTTTGTTAGGGGGCAAATGTTATACCCTAAAAGCAAGTTCTATAATAATTAGGACACGTGTAGACAATCTAAAGATAATCTTATCAATATAAGAATAGAATAAATCCTGATAGGATAAGAACACCCAAACACCA